CGCCGCCCCCCCCCCCTGCCCCCCACTAACCGGGTGGCAGGCTCCCCCTTGCCACTGCTGCAGGTGCGCTACCTGCCCAGCTCCTGCACTAGGAGCTTCTACAAACCTGTGTGTTTGTTTGCGGCCACGCCTTGCACTAGGGCCGGTTGCCCCGGGCTTGCACCCTGTGCTTTGCCGCCGCGCCCTGCTCGAGGGCCCGGGCTTGCACCCTGTGCTTTGCCGCCGCGCCCTGCTCGAGGGCCCGGGCTTGCACCCTGTGCTTTGCCGCCGCGCCCTGCTCGAGGGCCCGGGCTTGCACCCTGTGCTTTGCCGCCCCGCCCTGCTCGAGGGCCCGGGCTTCCGTACGGCGTTTTGGTACCTGGCTGGGATCCGGACCGGACCTTTTAAAGGGGCCAGGACTAGATCTGTTGCCCTGTCCATAACTGAGAATTAAGAGACTTGAGGATACAGAGAACTTCTTCCCCAGTGGCCCGAACCTGAAGCAAGGCCGGGCCCCTGAACTATTGCCTCTCCGCCCGACCTGAAACAAGGCCGGGACTAGACTCACAGACTCGGACTATTTTAAGGCACGGTAGGGCTGTAGGGTGGACCAGCCGCACACTGTACCAGGGGCGGAAGAGCCGCCTCCTGAAGGCCGGACGGCCGACAACCAACCAGCCCCTGGAAGGGGGGGAAGCGTAGAGGCTGTTGTGGGCACTGCCGGAGGGCAGTGTCCTGAAAAGGATCCCGCCGAGCTAATTCCCAGAACCGACGGCAGGTGGAGCTGTGGCGGTACGTGAACCCCGCTACAGCAGCATCAGAGACAGCAACAAAAACAAATAAAACCAGCACAGTTATGTGTTAAATATAAACAACTAAAAATAAAGGGAAAGTAGCATTTTTCTTCTACAGTTTCAATGCTGAGCTGTAAACTTTTGAAAGAGCAGCCATGATGTCTTGTTCACAGTTACGAACATTTCAGGGTAATGAACAATCTCCATAACTTGGGTGTTTATAATTCTGAGTTTCTGCTGTACAATATAATACCAATCTCTGTCACTGGAGATTTTTAAGAATAAGTTAGATAAACACCTGTCATGGATGGTCTAGATCAGTGTTTCTCAATCTTTTGTTTTTATACAGTATCCCTTTAAAAATTATAAGTACCCCCCAGTACCTACAATTTTCAGACACACACAAAAATTTTCTACCATTGCAACACATTTGTTTAAACAACTTAATCATAGCCAGGTGGGTGATGAAATTTTTGGGCGTAAAAAGTGCAAAAATAATAAACAACTGTAAAGAATTAAAACTAAACTTCAGTTATCTCCAAATTTCAGTTGTGTTGACATATTCCCCATAAGGGTACTCGTACCACAGGTTGAGAAACACTGGTCTAGATAAAACATAGTCCTACCATGCATGCAGGGGACTGGATTGGATGACCTCTTGAAGTCTCTTCCAGTCCTGCAATGTCATGATTCTAATAGAGCACATTGGCTTCTAATGGCTTCATTTTCAAACCAGCACCTTTGGGCTGCCCCTCACACTTCTGCAGAGCTCCCTGTAAACAGGTGAAGCTACGTCATTATCCACTTTCAGACTGTCCTTTGTCACGGTGCCTGCAAAGGACAATAGTAAGGCCACAGGTTTAACAGCATGTCATGTTGACCACACTCGTCTTACTGTTTTCTGGTACTTCTGTATCCATCTGTGGTCTGTTGTTTCATACTTGGATTGTGCTCCTTGGAGAGAGACCTCTTTTAGTTCCGTGTTTGTACAGTGCCTAGTCCATTATGAATCAGAATAGCACAGTTAAGAACTGACCGACTGATCTCAAATAGAAGGGGACTCATCCTTGAGCAGGATGTTTCTTGTAGAATTCCACAGGGATCACTACTTCAGGTGGAACCTCTCTAGTCCTGGCACATCCCTGGTCTGGCATGATTTCAGTTTGCTGGATGTCCACTTATCATGAGGCCAAGTTTCCTGTGATCCCATAATGTTTGTTTCCAGCCACCAGTCCTGGCTCTCAGTGTTCTGTGCTGTTGTTTAGCTCTAATTTACCCCTCAATGTCTTCTAAGAGTCCAAGAAGCAGTGGAAGTATTGGTCATGCTGCTAGACAATGTTGACCTACAAATTCTCTGGTTCTGCAAATTTCTGATTCCGCACCAGTCAGGTCCCGAGGGTGCCGGACTAGAGAGGTTCAACTTGTAGTAAGTCACTATTTAACATTTCAATCAGTGATCTGCAGGCAAATATACAATCACTGCTGATAAAGTGCGTAGGAGACACAAAGATTAGCAGAGTGATAAATAATGAGGAAGACAGGGCAGTCATACAAAGCGATCTGAATCATTTGGCAGAGAGACTGTCTGGGGGAGCAAATGGCAGTACTTTTTCAAGACCCTATGCTCTTTTCCCCTTTCTTTATTTGTAGGGCATACAAGATCAGAGGTCTGAAGCAGTGTGGGCAGGGGCTACCCTCTCCCTTCAGGAACTGGGCTTTGCCTGGGGCAGGAAGGAAGGAGGGAGTTGGCATTATCAGTTGCTTATGAGACAGGTGTGAATAACACCCTCTCTCCCCTGTTCCCCTGAATTTCTCTCCCTTGGACATTAAGGGTGTGTGTCTACACAGCAAAGTTATTCCGGAATAATAGCATTATTCCAAAATAATTATGCGAGTGTCTACACAGCCATTCCATTATTTCAACATAATTTCGAAATAATGGACAGCTTATTCCGACTTCTGTAAACTTCATTGTATGAAAAGTAACGCCTATTCTGAAATAGCTATTTCAAAATAAGGCGTGTGTAGATGCTCCACTTCTGCTATTTCGAAATAGCCCCTCACCAGGGCCATTCTAAGTTATTCCTCCTGGGACTCTAAATCGAGGTAGCACATCTACTTTACGGAAACCTGCCTCGGACTAATTTTGGGGCTTCCCTGCAGTGTAGATGTGCTATTTCAAAATACGATATTTTGGAATAACTATTCTGGAATAGCTTATTCTGAAATAACTGTGCAGTGTAGACATCACCTTATCTGAAACCTAAGGCTATGTCTACACTCCCAGGTTATTTCAAAATAATAACTCCTGAAATAACTATTTTGAAATAAGCTTATTCCTTTTCACAAGCAGGAATTATTATTTTGAAATAACCAGACCCTTATTTCAAAATAACGGGGTTGGTAGTGGGGATGCTCTGTTTGTTATTTCAAAATAAGGGACTACTGTGTGCCCTAATGCTGTTGCAATTTTTAGCAGAAACGACCAGCTCCTCTAGGATTTTGGGGATCATGACACTTCTTTTACCAGACGTGAGCCGAGAAACACCCCACTTCCTCTGCAATCTGACACCTGACTCCTTCACCTCTACAGGAGACGCCATCAGGAAGGGTTGCAACCAGTGTTCCCTGTAAGCTGTGTACTTGTGCAGCCACTCCGGAAAGATTCAAATGCTGCCCAGCTGCTTAGCAGGGTGCCCACAGCTAGGTTTTTGTTGCTATAGGTGGTGCACATTTGCACATACAAATTATTCCACACACGGATGGAAAAGATTAGAGAGAACTTTGGTTGCAGCCCACTAATATTAAACAAAAGGGTGTGGGGGGAGGGGAATTTGCATTTCCATTACTTATATCAGACCTGTTGCCGTTTCCAGGCCGGTTAAGCTGGCACCTTTCCCCGGTGGGAAATGCAGTCAATCTTTCTTAGTTTTTAAATGTGTGCTTACTACATTCAGCAGCACAGCGGGTGCATCCTACCCCAGTGCACTTAGGTTACCAGGTACATTCAGCAGCTGTTAGTGCACTCAGATCCGGTAGTGATGTGGATGGGTGGGTGGCTATAGAGAAGTGTCTACAGCCTGGTTTCTGCCTTGCAACGTCTTAAGGTGGAGGAGGAGAACAGCTGCAAAAAAACCTCATCTCTGTGCAAACATATTTTCCTTTGCCATTACAGATAATACTGTGCTGGATTTTGCAAATCCCAGTCTCTCCTCCCCTCCCCCCCCCCACGCATCTTTGAACTGCCCAAAATAATACAATGCTCTTTGCCACTTGAAGGGGCTGCGATATTCTGCCCTGAGTGAGATTTCCAACTCTTCCCCTATTTGCTGCTGACTCAGTGACCTGCTGAAAATGGGGGGATGACTCATTAAATGCTTGTGGCCGCTCTGTGCTTTCTAATCACTTCTATTTCAGACACCAGGCTCAAAGCCCACCGTTGGGGGAAGCCGGGGAGCGGAGATGAAAACATCTCCGGCCACAGGGTTTCAGGAGGCTGATACCTCTCTTCAGCCTGCGGAAGCACCGAGGCGTGTGAGACGGCGGCTGCTTGACCTGAGGAGCCAGAGAGAGTGTTTGGAGATAAAGCTGAGACACAGAGGCCCAGTGGTGCATCACCGGCCTCTGTCAGCCACTCTCCTCAGGCCTGACAAACTCACTGCTAAGGAAGGTAAAACAGTTAACTCGTTAAACCAGGGGTGAGGAACCTAAAGCCCGGGGGCCAGATGTGGCTCCATGCTTGCCTGGATCTGGGCCCTGGGGCTTGGCGCCCCTCCCCCAGCATTGGTGTCCCACGAAGGCACACAACGTGAGGTGTGGTGTGAGGGGAACGTGCGAAGTGTCTTTCTCCTCAGTCAGGGTATGTCTACACTACAGAGTTTTGTGGGAAAAACGGCCGTTTTTCCCACAAAACCTGAGTCATGTCCACACTGAAATCGCATTTTTCCAAAAGGAAATCGAAAAAAACAGGGTTTTTTTTGGCATTGGTAATCCTCTTTCTACGAGGAAGAAGCCTTTTTCTGAAAGAGTGCTTTTGGGAAAAGGCATGTGTGTATGGGGAAGAGGGAGTTCTTTCGCAAGAAGAGGAAAGAGGAAAAAGCACAGGTGCCCTGGTGGCCACTCTGCCCATAGCAATCACAGCGTACATGCAAGAGAGCGTCCATTCAGTGTGGATGCTATCTGTCGAAAAAGCAGATTGCTTTTTCGATGCGCTTTGGCAGTGTGGACGCTCTCTTTCGGAAGAAGTTTTTTCGGAAGATCTCTTCGGGAAAAGCTTCTTCCGAAAGAAGCCTGCAGTCCAGACGTAGCCTCAGAGGTTACATTAGTGAGGGTATGTGTTGTAAAGGTTTTTTTGTATGCGGCCCTTGACTGATTTTTTTTTGTGTGGGCTAGCAGCCCCCAGCCCAAAAGGTCCCCTACCCCTGAGTTAAATGATAGTTCTTAACTGATTAACTGTTTTAACTTAGGTACTGCTGCCTGGCCCCGCCACAGCTGTGGGGCCTGCCATGGTCACATCCCACTGCCCACCCATCAGCCTCACCACTGCTATGGCTGCTCTGGTCTGGCGTGTCTGACCACCACTGGAGTTAATTAGCAAGGACCGGTTAACTGGTAAGCTTCATGCTTAGGTAAGCAGGCACTGAACTCATACCATGTTGCTTTCCTCTAGTACTCTCCTGCTCATGTAGTTCTTGTGTTCTATCCCCACCCCTACTAGACGCTGTGAGTGTCTGATGCTTTATTCCCAAATGGTGCAAAGGCATCTCCAACTGGGAACAGTGCATTGATCTCTTCCTGTTGCTTGCCAATGTGCTTGCCAGTTAACATCCCTCTTTGCTACACCTAACACGCTGTAAAGAATATTGTGCGAGATCTCACATGAAAGCTGGTGACACACAGGTTATTAATATTGTCATGGAGTGAGTGAGTTAACAGTATCTGAGCAATTATGAATGTGCACTAATATTACTCTTTAAAGACTGTAACCAAACACAGAGAGAAACCGTTTTCTTCCAGACAAGGGGGAGGATAGTAATCCAACCCCCTCCCCTCCCAGGACTCTAAAGTAAATTGAGCTGGACAATGGCCAGTTAACTTTCATCAGCAGCAAACGGGAGGATGTGAAACCAGCATGGGAAGACACTGAACTATGTGTGATCCTGGAGGGTTATCCTGACTCTGGTGACCTTTGGATAAGGAAAAGCAAGAGAGGTTCTGGTTCCCTGCGGGAGCAGAGAAGCTGGTGCTCTGTGCAGCTACGAATGGTGGGCTGGTGAGGCTGGGAAGCAGCTGTCGGTGAGCACATCGCTTTCAACAAAGCTCGATGCCTGGTAAGCTTCTAAGCGGACTCTTGTGAGTCTTTTATTTGTAACCGTTTTTGCTTCCTGTTGTCTCTGCGAGGGATCACTTAAATCTCTGTCCTTTATGAATTCACCTCTTTGTGTTGTATTATCAAGTAGGGATGTAAGCGACTAGTCGACTAGCCCATAAGCAAAAGCTTATCGGATAGTCGACTGGTCTCTGCTTCCCCCCTTGCTGCCTCTATCAAAAGCAGCAAGGGGGGGAGCAGGAGCCAGTGCTGGGGGGAGCCAGCTTAAAAGCTGGTTCCCCGAGCACCTTCTCCATGGGGGGCAGAGGAGGCAAGGGGATAGCGGGGACCAGGTGCGAGCCAGCTGATTCCCAGCTCGCGCCTAGTCCCAGACGTGCCTCTGCTTTTTAAATGTATTAAGAGGCATCAGGCTCTTTAAATCCATTTAAAAGGCAGAGCCGCAGTGGGGTTAGCTCCCAGGCCGGGAGCTAACCCTGCTGCGGCTCCCCTGCTTATCGACTAATCGACTGATTTTCCATCGACTAGTCGATTAAACTAAATTTAACATCCTTATTATCAAGTCGCCTCCGTGCTGGGATAGGAGAGCAAGGTGGGTGGCTTTAACCAGTGTCTCTTTGCAGAAGGTGGCCTTGGTGTTTCTGTAGGCACCCAGTGACAAGGCTTGGGTACTGTGGGGAGGTGTTTCTTGACAGTGCACTGCCATGGGATTGAGAGTAGCGCTTCCGCCTGACTGTTCTGAGAATTGGTGTGGCCAGATGTTGCCCTCCTCTGGTGGTGTCAATACCCATTGTTCTTTCTCGCCTTTCTGTATGGCCTGCAGCCCCCAATTTGTGACTCAGGCAGGTCACTGTGTTGTTCCCTCCTGCGTGTGTGTGTGTATGTGTGTGTGTATAACTGTCTGTTCGGAACAGAGCATCCATAGCAGTCCACTGTCCTTTGCCTGGTCTGTCTCACACCCTGCTCTGTTCTACCTGCTTGCCCCCGGAGCCTTTCCTACCTTTCAGGCTCTCTCCCTTTCTCTGGGTTTGCCAGCCCAAACCACCTCCTCTCAGGGAGGACCTGCAAAAGCGACGAGGAGTCCTGTGGCACCTTATAGACTAACTGAAGTGTAGGAGCATAAGCTTTCATGGGCAAAGACCCACTTCGTCAGATGCATGTAGTGGAAATTTCCAGAGGCAGGAATAAATATGCAGGCCAGGATCAGGCTCTCTCCCTTTCTCTGGGTTTGCCAGCCCAAACCACCTCCTCTCAGGGAGGACCTGCAAAAGCGACGAGGAGTCCTGTGGCACCTTATAGACTAACTGAAGTGTAGGAGCATAAGCTTTCATGGGCAAAGACCCACTTCGTCAGATGCATGTAGTGGAAATTTCCAGAGGCAGGAATAAATATGCAGGCCAGGATCAGGCTGGAGATGACCCGGTGGATCCAATCAAGGAGGATGAGGCCCACTTCTAGCAGCTGATCTGGAGGTGTGAATTCCAAGAGAACAGAAGCTGCTTTTGTGAAGTTTTTTTGCTGCAGGATGGCTACTTTTAGATCTGCAATTGTGTGTCCAGGAAGATTGAAGTGTTCCCCTACAGGTTTTTGTATGTTGCCATTCCTAATATCAGATTTGTGTCCATTGATTCTTTTACGTAGGGACTGTCCTGTTTGGCCGATGTATATAGCAGTGGGGCATTGTTGGCACATGATGGCATATATTACGTTGGTGGATGTGCAGGAGAATGTACCAGTGACAGTATGGCTGGTCTGGTTAGGTCCTGTGATGGTGTTGCTGGTGTATATATGTGGGCAGAGTTGGCACCGAGGTTTGTTGCAAGGATTGGTTCCTGAGTTCGAGTTATTATGGTGCGGTGTGTAGTTGCTGGTGAGAATATGCTTCAGGTTGGCGGGTTGTCTGTGGGCAAGGACCGGCCTACCTCCCAAGGCCTGTGAAAGCGAGGGATCATTGTCCAGGATGGGTTGAAGATCACTAATGATGCGTTGGAGAGGTTTTAGCTGGGGACTGTAGGTGATGGCCAGTGGTGTTCTGTTGGTTTCTTTCTTGGGCTTGTCCCGTAGCAGGAGGCTTCTGGGTACACGTCTGGCTCTGTCAATCTGTCTCCTCACTTCCTCGTGTGGGTATCGCAGTTTACAGAATGCTTGTTGAAGGTCTTGTAGGTGTAGGTCTCTGTCTGAGGGGTTGGAGCATATGCGGTTGTACCTCAGTGCTTGGCTGTAAACAATGGATCGTGTGGTGTGTCCGGGATGGAAACTGGAGGCATGCAGGTAAGTATAGCGGTCGGTAGGTTTTCTGTATAGGGTGGTATTGATATGACCGTCACTTATTTGTATCGTGGTGTCCAGGAAATGGACCTCCCGTGTAGATTGGTCCATGCTGAGGTTGATGGTGGGGTGGAAGCTGTTGAAATCATGGTGAAATTCTTCCAGAGTCTCCTTCCCATGGGTCCAGATGATGAAGATGTCATCGATGTAGCGTAGGTAGAGAAGGGGTGTAAGTGGACGAGAGCTGAGGAAGCGTTGTTCCAGGTCAGCCATAAAAATGTTGGCGTATTGTGGGGCCATGCGGGTGCCCATAGCAGTGCCACTGGTCTGGAGGTATATGTTGTCACCAAATCTGAAATAGTTGTGTGTGAGGATAAATTCACAGAGTTCAGCCACCAGTTGTGCTGTGGCATCATCAGGAATACTGTTCCTGACAGCTTGTACTCCATCTGCATGTGGGATGTTTGTGTAGAGAGCCTCTACATCCATGGTGGCTAGGATGGTGTTTTCTGGAAGATCACCTATGCATTGTAGTTTTCTCAGGAAATCCGTAGTGTCACGAAGGTAACTGGGAGTGCTGGTGGCGTAGGGTCTGAGCAGAGAGTCCACATAGCCAGACAGTCCTTCAGTAAGAGTGCCAATGCCCAAGATGATGGGGCGTCTGGGATTTCCAGGTTTGTGGATCTTGGGTAATAGATAGAACAACCCTGGTCGGGGCTCTAAAGGTGTGTCGATTTGTTCCTGTGTTTGTTTGGGGAGTGTCCTGAGCAGATGGTGCAGTTTCTTAGTATATTCCTTAGTGGGATCTGAGGAAAGTGGCCTGTAGAATTTGGTATTGGAGAGTTGTCTGGCAGCCTCCTTTAGGTAGTCAGGCCTGTTCATGATGACAACAGCACCTCCTTTGTCAGCCTCTTTGATTATAATGTCAGAGTTGTTCCGGAGGCTGTGGATGGCATTGCGTTCTGCACGACTGAGGTTACCAGGCAAGCGATGCTGTTTTTCCACAATTTCTGCCTGTGCACGTCGGCGGAAGCATTCTATGTAGAGGTCCAGACTGCCATTTCGGCCCTCAGGAGGAGTCCATGTGGGAGGACCTGTGGACTATCTTGCATAGCCCGAAACACACCGCCCCCTGCAGACTACTTCCCAGCTGCCCCCTTTCTGCTAGCAGCTCCCCGCCTTTGCAGAAGCCCCACGTCTTCCTGGCCAGGTGAGCGTCTCCTAATTCTGGCTGTCCTCTCAGCCTAATAGGCGAATTGGTCTTTGACAACCCCTTCAGGGCGAGGGTGCGGTGGACAGCTCCCCCCTTTCACCAAGGGTTAACCTCAAGCCAAAGTCAGGAGTGGCAGCGTTCTAAGGGGTTTGTGTGGCTGCCGTGGAGCTGTCGCACGGTAGAGCACCACGACGCCCCTCTCAAGCAGGTAGAGGGGAAACGGGGTGAGTGACAGTTCTGGCTGCCCCAAGGAAGGGTCACAAAAGAGGCAAGCAGGGGGTATGAAGCCGGTGACAGCCCCTTGCTGCAGGCTGTCCGGGCCTGCCCCCTCAACCGTCACGCACTCTGGGCTGGACAGTCAGGGCCCTAAATCTGACCACATGGAACAATCCCAGCAAAGGGCATAAGGGCTGGAAGAGAGACAAGAGCTGTGATAGCTCTTCCCTGGACCAGCCATAGCCACAACTCCCCAGACAGTCTACACTAGGGGGCTATTTCCCCAGCCATGCCCCATTGCACTGCCCCAGAATCTCGCCTTGGGCTCCTTTCCCTGTTCTCTGCACGTGGCAGGTGGGTCGGTCGGACAGGGATGGGGGCCCAGCGGGGGTGACAGGGAGGAGAGCTGTGCTCTGATGTAGAGATGGGATTACAATATCCATATAAACTAAACTAGTCCCAGGTATTGGAGAGAGTATCTGAAATGCTAACCTATTCCAGACAGCGACGAGGAGTCCTGTGGCACCTTATAGACTAACTGAAGTGTAGGAGCATAAGCATAAGGTGCCACAGGACTCCTCGTCGCTGTCTGGAATAGGTTAGCATTTCAGATAGTGGCTTGGATGTAACCAACCCCATGTCCTTTTTAGTTTTCCTTCCCCAGGATGCAAA